TAGCTCTGGATTCTGGAGTATACAATTGCCTGGGGTCCTGTGTGTGGGTTAGACAACTCGGCTGTGACCTAAACCCTTGCTGCTAAGCTCAGGCCGGAGCCTTGTGGGAGATGAGCTCTTTGTCCACAGCCCGTGGGGCTGAGGTGATGCCAGTCTGACACAGGTAGGCGACTACAGCCACGGCTCCACTCTCCACCTCTCCCAGCCGAGGCTCCTTCAGCCATGCTGTGCACTGCCCAGGAAGGTGTGCTCAGGGTCTGGGTGTCAGCCCCAAGCCGAGCTGGTGACAGTCAGCAGTAAGCAGAGCTCTGTCATCAGGCTCCAGACTAGGTGGAGCCGGCACTGGGATGTGGGCATGGGTCATGGGAGTTGGCACACATCTCCCAGCTACCTAGCACACTCTTCCCTGCGTTTGCCACATCCGTGAGAAACGTGACCCTGGTCCCTCGGTGCCAGGTGAGGCAATGGAAATACAGTACCGTTAACCTGATCCCTGCATCTGCCTCGTTCTAGCCGCAGTCCGCACTTTCTGTCTCTGTTCCCCGCAGGGCAGAGGGCTCTGGAATAAAAACAGAGGTGCTCTGGAATAAAAAGAGAGATGGCTCAGTGGTTAAGAGCACTGGCTGCTCTTCCAGAGGTCCTGAGTTCAACTCCCAGCAACCACATGGTGGCTCTCAACCATCTCTGGCGCTTATAATAAATAGCTAAATCTTTAAAAAAAAAAAAAAAGAGGTGCAGAATGCCTGCTGTTGCAACCCTTTGAGGAGTCTCAGAATCAGGGGCTCTCCTGAGCTACGATGGGGAGGTTAAGGTAATGCCTTCTCCCACCTCTCCTTTTCCTCCAGGGACAGGTACCCAGCTGTCACAGACAGGCAGGCCGTCAGGCAGATCTTAGTGGCCCTTGCTCCTCAAATACTCTGGAGGTCCTCTCTGGCCTCCCCAAAGCCTAGTTTCTAATGTATCCCTTCCCTCTTCCTTACAGCTCTCCTGATAACCCTACCCTCGGCCCAGAGCTGGCTTGCTATCCATAGCTAGTGAATAATTCAGCACGTTCAGCAAAAGCTAAATCAGATCCATAGCGATACCATGATCAAGAGGCCCCCTTGGGGCAGCTGGAAAGGCGAACCCTGCCCTGGAAAGACAAGCGCCCTGTAATATTAACTTCATTATATAAGGTTTCTCGCCTCCTGAGAAGCAACTTCAAACCCAAATGTTGCCTGGGCCCCGTTCCTGTCTGCTTACTTCTTGGGACTCAATGGCCTGTAGGCATGCTTCTGGGACATGCTGGTGCCAACAGTCAGTCAAACAGCATGCCGTAGTTTGCAGAGTGCTTTTGTGCAAATTTCTTGTTTAATCATATCAGCTCCTGCGGTAAGCTCAGAGCCCTTGAGTCAGCGGGAGCCTACAGGAATTGTGTTTCAATCCCCTGCTTTAGGAAAAAAAAAAATTGTTCTCAATTATTTGTGGCAAATGGGGTCGGGTAGAGGGTACTTTGTGTCCTAAAAATTGTGCAGAAAGGAGATGCCATTTCCTCTGGGTCACTTTCTTCAGGACCTGTTCCCAGTAAGCCCTCCTCCGGGGAGCAGAGTACCATAAAGGAATGAATTTGTTTTGCCTAGCCATGAGCCAGATATATGGCTGTTTCTGCTGACCAGGTTCCCGTGCCCCAGAATGACAACCCCTTCCCCCACCCCACCCCTCACCCCAGAGTATCTGAGACATTAGATTGTCCAAGGCCCCCAGGTAGAGGAGATGCCTCCTCCCTCCCTGAAAGCCGCTGAAAGGTCTCATGGTCTACACATGCCAGTGGTGTGCTGTGACATTCCCCTCGATGGCCCTTCTCTTTGCTTCTCCAGTTCCTGAGGCTGATCTCTCCATGTACTCTTTGGGTACACACCTACCTTGATTGCTTCAGTTCACAGTGAACAATACCAACCATTCTCTTATCTTCCCAGGGGAAAGCCGTTCCTGATGGTGACCCGGTTAGGTTTGAAAGTAAGTGTGGGGCAATGACCTCCCTGGCCCCAGTTTTCAGGGGAGGCATGGTAAACATCAGGGAAGCTGCCAGCCTCCCAAGAAGGAGCCCTCTCTTAGCTCACCACACAACATGTGCAGCCAGGATTTTTTTTTTTTAAGGCCTTACCTTGTTGTCTTCTAAGGTACTAAATTTAGCCGCTTCTCAGCCTTGTTCTCAGGCTTCCCACTCTGTAAAATGTGTGGACTCTGCTGATTGAGTTTTTTAATTTTATTTGTGTTTTGTGGTACTAGGGAATCAAACCCAGGGCTTTGTGCATGCTAAGCAAGTACTCTACCATTGAGCTCTACCCAACCCTATTTTTATTATATTTTTTAAGAGAAAAAAATAGTAAATAGTGTGATTTTTTTTTCAGGAGGGAGAGAATGATAATAAGACAGAGGAAAATGGAGTTTAAAGAAATAAGGGCTTGATGTCAAAATTAAGTGACAAGGAAGTATGATATGTAAGGAGAAGCTAAATGAGGAAGAAGCCAGCATGGAGGAGAGCTGAGCCTCACCAAGCGTGGAGAGGAGTGTGGGTCCAGGACCCGGGCTCCTTCCGGCTTCTCCCCCTAGGACAACGTGAGCCTATCTGTTGCCCGCAGACTTAGCTCTGTGTGGAGAAGGTGAGGCCAGACACCCCCAGCTGTAGCGCAGCCGCCTGGGCCTGTAGACCAGTGGTGAGCACCTGCCATGGCGTTGCCCCTTCCTCGGCCAGATCATAACGGAAGTAACCAAGAGCCATGGCCAAGACTTACTAGGAAGTTCGTGCAGTGGCCTTCACCCAGCAGCACGGTTTCTTTGCAAAAGGAGAGTTGCTTGGTGGCTGTCTCCTTCCAGAAGCATCGCTTGAATGCTTGTGGCAGCTCTCCCCATCTCTTCCTGCCACTCTCTCGACCCCCCTTCAGATGACAGCTGCTTTTCGGTCCCAGGCTCAGTCTTTGAGGTAGCATCTGGAACACTGTGATGTGTGCATGGGTGGACACATTCCCGTGTGGTGAGGGGCCCCAGTGCTAACAGCCTATTTTAGTAAGGCCGACAGTGTGTCAGGCTCGGTGGCCCATTTGCAGCTGGGAAGACTGAGACACAGCTGGGTAGCGTCAGAGGCTCAGCTCGCACACTGTCTCCATGCCCCATTTGGTTCCTTGGCCTCATCCTGCAAGCTCCTCTGTGGGACTCCTTTGTGACTAGTACCTGTCCAGGCACATAGCCTGTGGGGAGCAGGGTAAGGATCTCTACCAGCCATTCTGACTCCCAAGCACTGCCAGGCTACTGGCAAGTGTAGTCAGCGTCCCTGGAGCCCATTCTGTACATACCTTCCTGCCAGACACATTCACCTTCAACTCTTGCCTGTTCCCATTCCTCCCATTGCGCCTGTGGATATTTTCAAGCAAAGTTCTGGCGCCACTAGGGAACCAAGCTTGAAACACAAGGTCGTAAATGTTCCCTGCTGCTCATCTTGGCAGTTTCAGGGTCTCTACTTATGGATAAGGACAAGGACATCACAGAGCAAAGGGCTCTCTGCCTGCTAGCTTGCCAGGCGGACACTGCCCTGATCACTGTTTGTTCCTTCTCTCTCAGAGACTCCTGGTTCATCCCTTGACCCCTGCCCTCCCTCTTCCTGTCTGTCATGGTGATGAGTTGCTCCAGGAACGGAGCTGAAGCGTCCCATTAGGGGCCAGGTTTCCCTATGGTCATCTTAATGCCGTGTGGCCTTGCAAAAAACTTGTTGCTGTTCTTAGCTTTCTGGATCAGGAAGTCTGGGAAGAAAGCGCTGCCATTCAGAGACAATTCCACAATAAAGAAAGGGGGTGTGGGGAGACAACCCCAGTGTTAGCCCACTCTCAGCCTCTGGTCTCCTGTGGCCACTGCCACAGCCCAGCTTCCTTGTTTGTTGTTGTGGTTGTTGTTTGTACGAAGAAGGTTATGGGCCAGTGAGATTGTTCAGTGAGTAAAGTAAAGGTACCGGTTGCCAAACTTGATAACCTGAGTTATGGGAGGAGAGAATCAATGCCAGCCAGATACGCTCTGCCCTCCACGTGTGCCGTGGCCTGTACACCCACACGTATACATACCCTGCACATGAAAATAAGTAAATAAAATGGAACTTAAGGAACAAGGAAAGGGAAGTTTAGAAGAGATGGACAAGGGAGTGCCTTGGAGGATGTGGGATTTTCCCAGGCAATCATGGGACACTTAAGACCTTAAGGCAAGAAGGGGTGCTGTGCTGGTGTGCATACTGAGCCCACTACAGTCCTCTCAGGTAACCAGACCCCAGGTGGTCCAGGATAGGCCCGTACCCCTCCACTCACGTGGGTCTAGATACATTGGGACTTTTGTCGTCTCTCATATACTGTGCTGGTCATTTTCCATACTCTGACCCTTCCCAGTGGACAGACGAGGGGTCCCTCCTGATGCTGAAGCCTGAGAGTGTCAACTCTTTGCAAGAGCACGGTGATGAATATCAAGCAGTTACCGACTGCATGTCGTCTGTTAAAGTGGAGGCTTTGGAGTGACTTGGCCAATAAAGACAGACATATGTGTACGTCACAGTTTTGCAAGGAGGGTTATATGGGAGGATATGGAGAAAGGAAATGGAAGGGTGACATTTTATAATTATATTATAATCTCAAAAAATAAAAGAAGTAATTTTTTTTAAAATCTTAGCTTAGGGGTTGGAGGGGTGGCTCAGAGGTTAAGAGCACTTTGCTCTTCCAGTGGACCTGAGTTGGTTCCCAAGCGCCCACATCAGGCGGCTCTCAACCACTTGTCACTCCACCTTCAGGGAATCCAGTGCCTCAGGCACCTGCTTTCACATGCACACGCCACACACACACACACACACACACACACACACACACACACACACACACACACACACAATTTAGTGTTTGTTTGTTTTTTTTTATTTAAAAATCTTAACTTGGTGAAGCCCAAACGGAGGGGGCAGGGAAGGGCTGTCTCGAGGGTAAGAATCTCAACCATCCTTGTTGCTACCCGGGATGGACCTGCTGCCGAGAACTTCCATTACAACCAGAGAGACAGTCTGCTTCCCTCCTACTCTGTCAGTGTCAAGGGAGACCGGCCTCATGTTGGCCACAGGAAGGGGCCCAGATAACCATAAGGGTTACTCCTTTCCTTCCTATAGTTTAACAGGGACAGCAAAACTGTATATTAATGACGGTCACACAAAAGGGACAGTACTTGTCAAAGTACTGTGTAAACAGGGAGGTCATTTATGAAAGTGGGAACTGGTTAGAGATCAGAGATGGCCCCAGTCATGGAGACCCGTGTAATGTGCCTTGCCAGCCTCCTCACACACCCCTAAGTCATCAGCTGACACATGTTTGTATAGTTTCCAAGACCCCTGGGTGGGGGATTCCTGGTCTCGGTGGTTTTGGCTGCAGACCTTGGCACTGGCTCCTAGAGATAGTGCTGGGCCCTTCTTATCTCTTGGAACCTTCTTGAACTTGGGACTGCCCCATCAGCATGATCCACATTGACCCTCAGTATTTAAGCCCCGTGTGTTCTCGGGGCTCACATGAGTGCCGAGTCTCTGCATGGGTATTCTGCCTTGGGAAGCTGCTGGTACAGAGACGGGGGACCCAGGACTCAGCTGGCTTCTCCATCTCCTTCCTCAACACTTGCTGTCCTCGACCGTGGCCCTCTGGCCCCCTCTGCTGACCAATAGGATTTCCTACTGGGACGCACAGATGAAGTCCAAGGAAAAAGGGACTGCTGTGAGTTTGGTCTTTGTTGTCTCCTGGGTGGTTTCTGCCTGGGCAGTGCTGGGGGGCAGGAAGTGGAGAGTAGGCAGTTGAAGCTGGGAGGGAGCCACAGTGGTGTCCAGAGCGGAATGGGTTCCTGGGACACAGTCTCGGAACAGAGGAATTCCCTTATTGAAGCTGGCTGACATCTCCAGGCCATTATTGGGGAGTCTGGGTTGGAAGTGACTATGCTTTCAGCCACTGAACAGGGAGAGAGGGTGAGAACTCTGAGAGGGACCCCTTCTGGGAGACTTGACTTCCATTATGAGCTGAAGTCGGGAGTTGGTGCAGCTGAGCCGCTGTGAGAGGGTTTCTGATCACCGCGTACATTTTTAGACACGGAAATGGGAGGAACTGGTCAGTGCCTGTCTGGTGGGTGAACAGTTGTTTGTCCTATATTTTCCTGTGGCTTCTCACCCCCCTGCACACAGCTAAGCCGGTCACACTAGGGCATTCTCCTACACACTGGGCTGGGGAGAGGTCCCTAGTCACCACCCGATCCTCCCGCTGGAGGATCCTGCCAGATGGGAAAGAGTGGCCGTGCACCCTGGGGGAGGAGGAAATCTAGAGCAATCCGCCCCTAATCCCTGACTGGACCTCACTCAGACTGGAGATGGCGGCTTCGGAGCCTGGGAGTTCTGGCATACCTGCTCTCAGACCCCGATTCCCAACAGCCAGCCCGATGCTGCCCAGGGACTGTGAGTGTGGGGGCCAGGCGCTGTCCTCTGACAGCTGGGGCCTTAAAGCTCCTGGCACCTCTTCGCCAGCACGGCTTTGGGAAACAGTATCCACGCAGGTGAGGCGCTGGGTCAGGGGAAGGAAAGACTTCCACCCGGGAGATAGAGTGGGGCTGCAGAATGGAGGAGAGCCGTTTCTAGAGCTTGTCAGGCAGCAAGCTCCCTTCCTGGGCTCCCCCAGAAATAACCTCTCTCCTGCCCAGTTATGGAGAACTCCAGATACAGGGGAGGCGGCATGTAATTAAATACAAGGGGTGCTTCTCATCATGGCTGCTCTGTATTCAGAAGCAGTGGCAGGGAGAAGGAAATGGAGAGGTTCTGGGAGCATTGACCCCCATGGACCAAAGAGAGTTCAGGATCGTAATGTTTGGCTATTGGAGAATCAGAGGATGGAAAATGAAAGGCCAGCTCCAGAGTCTCAACCAAGAGTCCTTGCCTCTAAAGAGATGGAAGGAGAACAGTGGACATTTATGTGGACAAAAGAGCTTTGTTCTCAGGAGGGCCAGGACCGAAGGGAGGATGTAGTTCTGACCACAGCCAAGGAGTAGCCCTAACAGAAAGGGTCACCAACCAAGGTGTAGCTGAGATTAGGCCCTCCACCAGCCCTGGAGAGTGGTCCTTGAGGGGCAGGGCGAGCCTGTTGGCTACAGGAGCTACGGTGATGGAAGGCAGCTAGCTACATTGCCACCTTGAGATGGATGAGTGCTGCATGCAGAAAGGCTGTGTTCCCTCATCTGTGTGCGGTCTGCACCAGCCATCCCCTTGTAGAAGCGAGACACGGGGAAGTGGGGAGGCATACTTTGCCTCCTCGTGTGGCTAGAGCCTTGCTGTGGGGATGTTTCTACCTCTCTCTCCACATATACAAATGCTCTTTTTGTGCCCTGTTGAGTAGCTGAGAGTCTGACCTCCTGACCTCTGGAGACAGGACTCTAGGCTTCCTGGGTATTTCCCCCACACTTCCCCCTTGCCCATCTGGGAATGCTTGGGTCAATAGGATGACCGATCCAAAGCTGGATTAAACATTTCCATGGGCCCCATATGTCCCCACTGGGAAGAGAGAGCCACCAGCCAAATAAGGTGATAGCTGCTGTGCTGAAGGAGGAACAGCCCCGACCTCAGGACCTGGGGCTGGTGAGGTGGCCTTCCCCACTGCTCTGGCTGAAAGGTCAGTTTTGTCAGAAGGCCAAACCACCTCTTTGAGGCTGGAGGATTTTAGCTGGCCATGGACTTTCCTCTCCATCCTGGGCTGGATTTGCCCTCTTTCCCTCTGGGACTTAATTTTTAAAAGGCAATCAGTGCTCCCCATCCCAAGAGAGTTTACAGAATCAGAGTTTCTCCAGGACAGCTGGGAGCTGGTCCAAGCATCTCTGCTGAGTCACTGCTGAGTCACTAGCCCTGACAGCCTTCCCCCCACCCGCAACCTGCACACCTTCTGGGCTCTGACACTGTGGAAGCCTGGATCCTGCCTTCGGGAGCAACATTTGTTTGGCCAGGCCCATAGGCAGATCAGAGTAAACCCTGGACCTAAAGAGAGGAATCAGAGACCCAAAGATCTGTCTGTTTCTTTTGTCCTTGTTCTCCTCCCCCTCCTCCTCTCCCCCTCCCCACTCCCTCTCCTAAGAGTAGCCTAACTGTTGTCTTTCCAGCTAGACATGCCAGCCCACTGTGGGTACCCTGGGCTGCCTGCCCCAAGGTGGGAAAATGTCAATGGGTCCACTTGGGAACACGAGCAGGAAGCATGAACTCCTCACAAGCGGTCGTTATTGCTAAAGAAAGAAAAAGGATTCACGTAGCAACAACCTTAGGGTTTCTCTATATCTTTGCGCCTTTCCTGGAACTCACTGTGTAGACCAGGCTGGCCTCGAACTCACAGAGATCCGCCTGCTTCTGCTTCCCGAGTGCTGGGATCAAAGGTGTGCACCGCCACCACCCAGCTTTCTCTCCTTTTCAAGAGCATCACTTAAGCTGGCACTTCTGTCCTGATAGTGTCTACCGTTTGCCTGCCAACTGCCAGGATTCCAACTGCTGGACTGTCATGCAATGGGGAGGGCAAGTGTCCCATGGCCAGGTTAACACAAGGACTCGGATCCAGGAGGAGGTGAGAACCACAGAGGGCCATGGGAGCCAAGGCTGGGGAAGCCCTGCTCCAGCCGCTCCTGTGATTTGGTAGTGTGCCTAATTCAGTGGCAGTTTGTGTTCTGAAAGGGAGTGGGTAGGGAGACAGGTCTGTGGCACACTACCAGAGCTAAGTAGACAGGGTGCCCAGCTATTTATGGACCGTGGGGAGATCTCCCTGAAGCCAAGACAGAAACAGGAAAAACTGGCCCTGGAGACTCAGAAAACACTGCAGCTCTGCTTTACCTAGAACATTCTCATCACTGTGTGTTAAACTTCAGTCTAGAGCTGCAGCCCTGGCTAGTAAGCTCTCTGAGTAGGACCATGTCACGGACTCCCCAGTGGCTTAGCATGCGCATGACCCTCCCCTCCTTGCCAAATCACCCCTTAAAGTCTGCTCAGCCTATTCATGGGGAGTCATTCCCAAGTCAGGTATCTTTAGAGTGACCAGCTTCTCAGTCGGGGGAGTAAGGTAACCATGCCATGGGGGCTTCTGCTCCAGATGTGGTACTGGCAGCTGGTGGTGTGAGCTGAGTATGAGGCTCTACACCATTTGGAGAGAGGAACAGTCTTTGTTGCCAGGCCCTGCTCCAGGCTGGGGCCCTGGAGTTCCCACCTGCTGATGGCAGGCACTGAATCACTGTGCTGTGCCTCTCTTAGCTACCTCATCCAGGAGAGAGCAGCTTCTCTGCTGAACATGAGGCAGTGGGAAGATCCAGACACCCTCCTGCAGGCTGCTCTGATGTGGTTGGATCCCGACCTTCCTTCCATGTTCATGCTGCATAACGGTTATCTCCCCCTAGTTCCGAATCATCTTTATAATCCTCAGGGAGTCCCGGTACCCATTAGGTTCTCCCTCTCCATTCCTCCCCTCCCCCAGTCCCCAGCAACCGCTAATCTGTAGATTTAGGAACAATGGAAAGCTCACATAGTGGGACCATTCAGCATGTAGCCTCTCCTTAGCAAACCGGCTTTTAGGTTCATCTATGTTCGGGCATTATCCGAATTCCATTCCTTGTTATGACCGGACAGTCTTCCATTATATGGAGTGTCTCATTTTGCTAGCCCATTCATTGGTTTAAATGGCCATCTCCGAGTTGTGCCTCCCCTTCGGCTATTGTGAAGTGTGCCACTGTGAACTTGTACCAGTGTCTATTTGAATATCATTTTCAGTTCCTTTGGGTATGTCATAGTTGCCTAAGCTGTCAATTTGACACAGCCCAGAGTCCCCTGGGAAGAGGGAATTTCAATTGAGGAATTGCCTAGGTCAGATTAGCCTGTGGGCATGTCTTTGAGGTGTTTTCTTCCTTCCTTCCTCCCTTCCTTCCTTCCTTCCTCCCTCCCTCCCTCCCTTCCTTCCTTCCTTCCCTCCTCCTCCTCCTCTTCTTCTTCCTCCTTCTTTTTTGTTTTTTTGAAACAAGGTTTCTCTGTGCAGTCCTGGATTTGCTCTGTAGACCAGTTCATGTGTGCAATGGTCCTGTCGTGTCCAGCAGATGTTTCCCTGCAGATGTCCATTCCTCTGGCTCCTACTTTCTGCCCCCTCTCCCAGGATTGTCTCTGAGCCTTTGGGGATGGGGAGACATACAGATGTCTCACTTAGAGCTGTGTGGAGCTGAGCATCCTGCAGTCTCTTGTTAACCAGTTGTGGGTCTCCGTATTAATCTCTGTCTACTGCCAAAAGAAGCTTCTCTGGTGAGGGATCAGAGATGCACTAATTCCGGTTCAGGACTGGTCCACTTCCTGGGTCTGCAGTTTCCAATGCTGCTGAGACATCTGTATGTATTTTTAAGGAACTGCCGTAGGCTCTTTACTTAATATTTCATTTTATCCTTTGAGAACCCCTTGAAGGAAGTGGAATCACTCTCTTTTTCCAGGTGAGAAAAGCAAGTCTCAGATCATAAGAGGGCACACAACTGAGATCTGACCAAGCCAGGGCCCCAAACGGCTAGCAGACGGCAAACTGGGGCCCGTTCACAGGCTGTATCCTATCACTATTTTTAATAGATTTATTTTATTTTATTATGTATGTGAGTGTTTACCTACATGTGTGTATGTATACATGCATACCTGGTACACCCAGGGGTCAGAAGAGGACACTGGATCCCCTAGAACTGGAGTTACAGATGGCTGTGAACCATCATGTAGGTGCTGGGAACCAAACCAGGTCCCTTGCAAGAGCAACAAGTGTTCTTAACCACTGAGGCATCTTTCTAGCCCCACCCCTGTGTGCCAGGGTTTGAACCCAAGGCCTTGTATATGCTGGGCAAGCGCTGAGCCACCGAGCTCCGCCCAGTCCCCATTCTTCTTCAGCAAATCTCACCCATGTGCTTTCTCACCTCTTGAAGAACTCTCACCTTTTCTTTCCTTAACATTCCTTTCCTTGTTAAAATATAATCCTTCTTTGTGTCTCTGTGGCTGTCCGCCAGCCCCTGGGCTCTCTATCCCTTGCCCTGTCTCCCTTCAGTCTTAAAGGGGTCTTGGTGGTGGCTGATCCCTCTAATCCCTGCACTGTGGAGGCCAGACTACATAGTGATTCCAAGCCAACCTAGGCTCCAGAGTGAAACCCTGTCTCAAAACACCGCTAACACAAAAGGACTTGGAGAAAGCAGGCCATGAAGAGCACTTACCTTCCTCAGACATCTCCTTGGGGAGAATGGGTGTGGAGACTATGAGACAAAGACACACTGGCAGGTGACAGGCATTGGGGACATACGGGAGCTGGAGCTCCGGCTGAAGTCTAGTCCTTTAGTCTTGGGAGCAAACCCATAAGACACACCCACCCTTCTCTCATACCCTTACACGTGCATACCCCCACCTATGTTGGAGAGGGGCCAGGGAAAGCCCCTATGGAGACCCCTAGGATGAGAAGTCAGCTTAGTGAGGAGAGGAAAGCAGATGATGTCCTGGTGGTGAGTGTTCACAGAGGAGGGAGGTATTTTCTGTGCTCTGGCCACTCTTTGTACTCCTCTGAGATCTGCATCTTCTTATAAACCCTCAGCCAAGATAGGACTGGATAGAACTTTTCTTTTGTGTGTGTCTATCTTTTCTCAGTGTATATATTGAATTCTTTTATGTGTGTGCACATACACATACACAGTGTGGGCAGAGGTCAGAGGACATCTCAGGGGAGTTGGTTCTCTCCTTCCCATGTGGAGACTGAGTCATCAGTCTTGGCAGCAAGTGCCTTTCACCAATACTAAACCATTTTACCTGTCTCCATAATTCCCTTCCTTTCCTTGCTTACGTGGGATATAAGACCCCTCAGTCTCACTATAGGAAATGCCAGCTTAATTGCTTGAGAGTGAAGCCAGGTGTCGACAGGAACCACTAAGAGAAATCCTGCTTCTTGGGAGAGTGACAGAAATCCTCATAAGACTACTCGAGGCTAAAATGTCTCAAGCTGAGGATCTGCAGGGACTTCCCAGCTCTCCAAGGGGGAAGGGTCAGGCTCTGGGGCCAGGTGCCAACTAGGATTCAAATCTTACATCTTGCACTCACTAGTCTACCCCTGGGCAAGCCCTTGATTTCCTCTTCTGGAGAATGGGAATGGTAGTGCTGCCCGGCTCTTGGGTTATGCCCAGGATTGAATGGGTGAAAGTAGAAGTCCTGGAGAGCCACACATGGCACGCAGCAGCAGAAGGATCAGTGTGGTGTGCTGCCTCATTCTGCTGTGGAAGACATCAGAATGAAAACTGGGGAGGAACAAAGACCCTAGGGGCCAAGGGGATGAATGATGCCACTTCTCCGGCAGGCTACAGAGTGAGTCTACAGAGGATGCTGGTCTGTGACTGCAGATGTGTCGGCATGAGCCAGACATTTTATACCCACCTGTCAACATAGAGTTCTCCAGACAGGACGCCCAGGTTGGGGTCTGGGCTAGAGGACAGAGAAGTGGGGAGGGGAGGGCGGACAGACAGCCACAAGGCTCTGCAACCTTCAGGTCTCAAGAATGTCTAGCCTCACCAGATGGTGATGACGCACGCCTTTAGTCTCAGCACTCCAGAGGCAGGTGGATCTCTGAGTTCGAAGCCAGCCTGGTTTACAGGGCGAGTTCTGGACAGCCAGGGTTATGTAGAGAAATCCTGTCTTTAAAAACTAAATTAAAGCCGGGCGGTGGTGGCGCACGCCTTTAATCCCAGCACTCGGGAGGCAGAGCCAGGCGGATCTCTGTGAGTTCGAGGCCAGCCTGGGCTACCAAGTGAGTTCCAGGAAAAGGCGCAAAGCTACACAGAGAAACCCTGTCTCGAAAAACCAAAAAAAAAAAAAAAAACCCTAAATTAAACTAAACTTTTTTTAAAAATGTCTAGCCCCTGGGCACTGCATGGCATCCACTCTGACTTTTCTGTGTAAACCAGACAGATGTCATGTGGTGAGGGAAACAGCTGCATCTCCTGAGAGGAACCCAGCAGGCAGGCAACGGACTGTCTCTCCCTAAGGGAGGCATTGCAGCTTTCCCAGCATTCCACATCCATTCCCATCTGCTCTGTCCACTGGCCCCATTCACAAAGAGTGAATGGCAGCATACAGACTGCCCAACACATTACCATCAATGCCCATTGCCTGCATATGCTTTGCCCCAGGACATTAAGGGGGTTGGACATCTGCATTAAGGCCAAGTTCTTTGAGAGTAAAGGCCACGTGTTATTTAGAGAACCGTCCATCGATATTGAATAAATATGCTTTGATAATCTCTTAAATGTAGCCCAGCTTGATTATGGGCATCACTCCCCTGGAGAAAAATCTGCCTAGATTCAGATCTGGCATTTCTCCTGTGCCTATGAGACACCATCCATGTAACCCTCAAATGAAACTGAGTAGGTATAGTTACACCCTTTGTACAGGCAGAGGCACAGAGGCTCGGAAAACCAGTGGGGTCACTGCAGGGAGTGACAGGCACAGGAGGGTGAAGTCTAACAAGATAAGAAAGACCTGGGGGGCAGTGGTGGCGCACGCCTTTAATCCCAGCACTCGGGAGGCAGAGCCAGGCGGATCTCTGTGAGTTCGAGGCCAGTCTGGGCTACCAAGTGAGTTCCAGGAGAGGCGCAAAGCTACACAGAGAAACCCTGTCTCGAAAAACCAAAAAAAAAAAAAAAAAAAAAAAAAGACCTGGGGATGGATTGCTTTTTTTGGGGGGGGGGGGCGGGGGACATGGCTTGGATTTGAAAGGCCAGAGTCTGAGGAGGGTGAGGGGTCATAAAGGGACACCCAAAGCCAGGAGGAAAGCCCCTACTTCAGGAGATTGCCCTCTTAGCATCCATGACTTGAGAGCCCCTGAAGGAGCCCGCTCCCTGCCTCCTGAGTTGGCCAGCACTGTTGATACGGGTGATGTTTTCCTATGACTTTCTCCTATAGTTAGCTCTGGCTCTTCCTGGTTCCAGCATGTGTGACTAGGCTGCTTTCTTTTATTTAATCCCTTCTAGGACATGGGGTTCACCTCACCCCTGCCCCCCAGTGATCTGCTCCAGCCTTGCTTCTGTTGTGTAGAGATAAGGTACAGGGACTCCGCTGCGGACAGTAGCCTGGGGTTAGTGGGCTCCCGGCCTGCCAACACATCTATCCTGTATTCAGTATCTTCTCTGCCCCTTCCTTCCGCTCCCCCTACCCCCTACCCCACCCCTGCCTTACTGTTTCTCAGACCTCCCCCTGTTTCTCTGAGTTTGTGCCACACTGATGCACTCAGGAAGCCTGCCTGTCTGATGGGGAGGGAGCCTCTTGCCTTCCTTCCTGCTCGTTCTCTCCCTTCTCAGCTCTTCCAGACTCCCGGCCTCTCTTGGCCTCTGAGTTACCTCTGGCTCTTTAGACTTCAAGGACCTGCCCAGGAGGGTGGGTGGGTATACTCTCTTCCCCCAGTTCCGGGAGAGTGGGAGAGCTCGAGTGTTCCCACCATCATGAATTAGAGGAGATTGCTGGTGCCCTCGGAGGGCAGGAAGGTAACAGAAGGGCCTAGGAGGGGGTGTCAACAGGGCCAGTGACCCATGCAGCTGTGTTAGTGAAAACATGGTACGAGGCCGGAAGGCATACATGTAGGCTTTCACAGGGATGCCCAAGGCAGGAGCCTAATTGAGAGACTGAATCCGGAGAGACAGCTGAGCTCATCTCTGGTCTCAGGGATGTGTGTCCCCAAGTTACTTGCTATAACATCCTGTTCCAAAGGCAAAGTAGACCTGCCTAGACTTCATTTCAGAGAAAAAAGCCCTTTATGAGGGTCATGCTGGCGTGCAGCTGTGGGGACCCGCTGTAGAAGCTTCGGCTCTTCCCCTGAAGTTCTCCTTCATCCTGCATCTATTGTCCAGGTGGAGAAGCTACACCCAAGGGTGTCCAGGGCTGCACGGACAACCCTGCTGAGCCCCCTCCCATGTCTCATGATTTATTCGTGTTTGCCCCCTCCCCAGGGTGACAAGGGAGATCTTGTGGCCCTGAGCCTCCCCTCGGGCCCTGGCCATGGTGACACTGATGGCCCCATCAGCTTGGATGTGCCAGATGGAGCGCCCGACCCCCAGCGGACTAAAGCTGCCATTGACCACCTGCACCAGAAGATCCTGAAGATCACCGAGCAGATCAAGATCGAGCAGGAGGCGCGGGACGATAACGTGGCCGAGTACCTGAAGCTGGCCAACAATGCGGATAAGCAGCAGGTGTCGCGCATCAAGCAGGTATTTGAGAAGAAGAACCAGAAGTCAGCCCAGACCATCGCCCAGCTGCACAAGAAGCTGGAGCACTACCGCCGGCGCCTGAAGGAGATAGAGCAGAATGGGCCCTCGCGGCAGCCCAAGGATGTGCTGCGCGATATGCAGCAAGGGCTGAAGGACGTGGGCGCCAACATGCGTGCGGGCATCAGTGGCTTCGGGGGTGGCGTGGTGGAGGGCGTCAAGGGCAGTCTCTCTGGCCTCTCGCAAGCAACCCACACCGCAGTGGTGTCCAAGCCACGGGAGTTCGCCAGCCTCATCCGCAACAAGTTCGGCAGCGCCGACAACATCGCCCACCTGAAGGACCCTATGGAAGATGGGCCCCCTGAAGAGGCAGCCCGGGCGCTGAGCGGCAGCGCCACGTTAGTGTCCAGCCCCAAGTATGGCAGTGACGATGAGTGCTCCAGTGCCAGTGCCAGCTCGGCTGGGGCGGGCAGCAACTCGGGGGCTGGTCCGGGAGGTGCGCTGGGGAGCCCTAGATCCAACACCCTCTACGGTGCCCCTGGGAATCTGGACACTCTGCTGGAGGAGCTGCGGGATATAAAGGAGGGTCAGTCACACCTGGAGGACTCCATGGAGGACTTGAAGACCCAGCTGCAGAGGGACTATACCTACATGACCCAGTGCCTGCAAGAAGAGCGCTACAGGTCGGTACCTCTTGGCTTCACCGCAGTGGGTGGGCCAGTGGGAAGTAAGGAAGCTACCCTGAGCTTTGGAGGCCACTGGAGAAGCATCTAGAAGGGTCCTGCCGTGCCAGCAGGAGCCCCTGAGGAGCTTTCTCCAGACTGGAAGAGGGGACACCAGACCTCTAGAAGGAAGGCTCTGCAGGTCTTGGGATGCTTTAGACCAGTGGTTCTCAACCTTCCTAACACTGCCACCCTTTAATATAGCTCCTCATGTTGTGGTGACCCCCAGCCATGACATTATTTCCTTTCTCTTTCTTTCTTTCTTTCTTTCTTTCTTTCTTTCTTTCTTTCTTTCTTTCTTTCTTTCTTTCTTTCTCTCTCTCTTTTCTTTTTCTTTCTTCCTTCCTTCCTTTCTTCCTTTCTTTCTTTTTTTTTTTTTTTTTTTTTTTTTTTTGTGTGTGTGTGTGTGTGTGTGTGTGTGTGTGTGGTTTTTTCAAGACAGGGTTTCTCTGTGTAGTTTTGGTGCCTGTCCTGGATCTCACTCTGTAGACTAGGCTGGCCTCGAATTCACAGAGATCCACCTGGCTCTGCCTCCCGAGTGCTGGGATTAAAGGCGTGCGCCACCACCGCCTGGCCCATAACATTATTCTCATGGCTATTTCATAACTATAATTTTTCTACTGTTATGAATCATAATGTAAACATTGAATATGAAGGATATCTGATATGTAACCCCTGTGAAAGGGTCCTTTGACCCCCAGGTTGAGAACCACTGCTTTAGGGTGTTATGTGCTTAACTCACAAAGGAGAGAACTAACACAAGGGCCAGCGCCATGTGTACTCTTCTGGAGACTCCGGTTCAGAAAGAACTTTAGAGGCAGCCACCTGGGTTCAAATCCCAGCTCCTCCTTATGGCACCTTCAAGGAGCGGTTAGCACTCCACATCTGGTGTCCCTGTCTGTGGAGTGAGCAAAACGCTGGCCTGACGTTATGGAGTGGTTATAAAGAGCAAACGAGTCGGCTAGGTGTGATGGTGCATGTCCCTAATCCCCGCACTCGGGAGGCAGAGGCAGTCAGATCTCTGGGAGCTGAGGCCAGCCTGGTCTACAGAGTGAGTTCTAGGCCAGCCAGAGCTACATTGTAATACCGTTTAAAAAAAAAAAAAAAAGATTGAAATGCAAAGTGGAGCTAGATGTATAGCATGGACAGTTGGAGCTAGGCGGCTCCTGAGGTCAAGAATGGGCTGGAGTTTGGTCCTTCCCCTGCCTCCCTGCCTCCCTCTCTGGGATTCAGGGGACCTTTTCTTCTTTCTAGATGATGGCTTGTAAAACTGAGGGGAACCCCACCTAAAAACTAACCACCCTCACTTTATAGTCACCTTTTGATACTTGGTGCTATTCAGAGGAGGGATCACATCCTCTGTACCCCAGGGTCCCTGCTACTTAGGGAGCATCTTAGCCTGGGTTGAGAGTCAGGTTCAAGTCCCTCAATCCTTAACGCCCCGGTCATGAGCTGTGAGATCCCAGACAGGTTCTCATCCTCCCCACCCATCGATACAGATGACCCAGTACCGTCTGGTGAGGCTGGGCGAGGGTCCTATGAGGCGCTGCCAGTCCGTGCTTAGCACAGGGCTGGCACAGAGGAGAGCAGGCCTGGACACATGGGTAGGCCGTGAGTCACTACCGAGAGAGTGGTTTGTAAGAAGTGATGTCGCCACCTCTTTTCCTCCCAGGTATGAGAGGCTGGAGGAGCAGCTGAACGACCTGACTGAGCTCCACCAGAATGAGATGAGCAACCTGAAGCAGGAGCTAGCCAGCATGGAGGAAAAGGTGGCCTACCAGTCCTACGAGAGGGCCCGAGACATCCAGGTACGGCCCCAGACCGCCGCGCTGGAGGGGGTCCTGATCTGTTGATAGAGCCATAGGCACAGGGTGCGGGTGACAGTATTGGGGTGGACATATCACATAGGGCAAGAGGAGCGGAGGTTTATCCATAGGGCAGATCAGTACAGGATGCAGAAGAGGCAGTGTTGCCAGGGTAGAGATAAGAGCAAGGTAAGTCCTTGGCCAAGTGTATGCACTATGCAGAGGCAGGCCAGTGAGCAAGGACCACTTACGTTTGCCACATCTTTGGTGACATATCTACAAATGAATAATTGTTATTTCCGGGCCTTCGCCTGCCTCAATATGGAGCAGGAATCAATGAGCAGGACTCCCATTTCCTCCCACCCTCCTCAGACAGCCGTCAGTCAAGTGTGCTGTCCCCAATTGCAGCCGATCAACCTGTACCCTTCTTGGCCTTGAAGAAGGGCCGTACGTTACCACCTTCTTGGTACAGTGGCATATTGGTCTAGTCTCTGCTGTAGCAAGATGTGTGAGGATGGATAATTTGTAAAGAGAAAAGATTCACCCAGCTCTCACCTCTAGAGACCCAAGAGGATGTCATCCTCTCCTTGGAGCTGGTAAGGACCCCATTGGTATAGCCTCCCAAAGGCAGGAACTGGTAGAGGGGTCACATAGTGAGGCCGAAAGCCAGAGAGATTTGGGGGTCAGACTTTCTGTCACAGGATCTGAATCTTTACATTACACACACACACACACACACACACACTTTAAAGGTTCTGCTACCCTAACATTGCCACACTAGAAACCAAGCTTCCAGCTTTCCAACCCTTGGAGATCCCGCTTAGGCCCTATAGGAATGAGAACAGGTAGATGGGGCTGAGTCTTGGACCTCAGCCACCCTGAGCTCTCACCCACCCCGCTCTGCCCCTCGCAGGAGGCCGTGGAGTCCTGCCTGACGCGTGTCACCAAGCTGGAGCTGCAGCAGCAGCAGCAGCAGGTGGTGCAGTTAGAAGGTGTGGAGAATGCCAACGCACGCGCCCTGCTGGGCAAGTTCATCAACGTGATCCTGGCACTCATGGCCGTGCTGCTGGTGTTTGTGTCCACCATTGCCAACTTCATCACGCCCCTCATGAAGACACGCCTCCGCATCACCAGCACCGCCCTCCTGCTCCTCATCCTCTTCCTCCTCTGGAAACACTGGGACTCACTCACCTACCTCCTGGAGCACGTGCTGCTGCCCAGCTGAGCAGCTGCCCTCCCGCCCTGTGCTCTCCGGATTCCATTGGCCACACATCTCCAGGAGGGCCTGGGACCCCCCGAGTCCCTTGGATTTTGTCATGTGTCCTGTGTGGCCTCTTGCCCACACTGCCCGCTGGGCAGCTGCTGCCTCTTCTCCGCCCTGCTCGTCTCACACCATCTCTCTTTTGACCTGAAGGCTGCTGAGAGGGGGGAGGGGGTCCAGGCCGGAGGGAGTGGAGACACCATGACCAAACGGAGCAGGGGAGGATGCCAGGGCTGCAGTGTGTGATTATTTACAGTCACGTGAGACTTTGCTGGGCCGACCTGAGGCTGTCCTAGGTCATGAAGGCCACTATGATAGAAGGCCAGTCTCAATTTCCCTAAGGAAGAGCCCATCCTGGGGGTAGCCACAGTTTCCTCCCATGGAGATGGCCTGGGTATAGCCAGTGGGAGGCTGTGCTGACTGAGTACAGGAAGGGGAGGGTCCCCAGCCTCGGGGCCAGAGGGCAGCCAACTGGGAGCTCAGTCTACCCTTCCCCTGCTCCTCTCCTCACTGAGCTGATGTGAGACTGGTTTCTGGAGGCTGGGTGAGGCGTGGCTTTGGATTTGTGTTTTCCCTGCTCATCTTTCTGCCTGTCACTGGGTGTACTGTTTTCTGAAAAACAGGCCCCAAGGGCCCTGAGCCTCTAGCCCAAACCCTTAGGTCTCTGGGATCAAGTTGAGTTCTATTTATTTATTTATTGACTTATTTATTTGTTCCTACCTTTCCCTTGCTTCTGCCCAGCTAGGCTCCAGGGAGAGGCCCTGCCCATCCTCTGTCTGAAGCCCAGGCTTATTCTTGGCTCATCACACTCCAGACCATGTATCCCCTGGTGTTTCTGGCTGGAAGAAGGGGTATGTGGCTACCCACCCTGCTCTCCCAAGCAGCCCCACCAGATGGGCAGGAGGATCATGGCCTCTTTTCTATATATCTATTTATTTTATACGTGTGTCTTTGTGGGGAAGAGGATGTTTGTTGACTTACTCCTTTAAGGCTCTGGAGTGTTGTGTACAATTCTGTACAGCCCAGCCTCCCCATGGGCCCTTCCAAGCACAGTGGGGATTTCTCAGAATAGGAGAGAGGAACCCATGAAGCAGTGCCTGCCAGCTGTGGTGGACCTTCCTGAGAAATAAATATCCTCTACGTTTTCCAACCATCCTGTCTGGTGTTGGCTGTCTCTGTGAAAATCTCAGGCTCTCTCCCCACACTCAGGGATTCTGGGTAGCACAGGTTGGGCCTCATCTGTCGAGCTGATGTTGTCTTCCTTCAGGAGACAGCATGGAGTGAGGCATATCCACCCTCCAGCCTTGTCCTGAGCAACTTAGATGATATGACTACCATCCCATCCAGCCCCAGTTTTGCTGGAGCACTTTCCAGGAGGGACATGGAGAGGTTCCCATAGCAGTTATGACCAGTTGTGGCCACAAGGGGTCAGCAGAGTCCGTACTCCAAAACCTCTCTCAAGATGCAGGTCCAAACCGCCATCCATTGGGATTAGCTTAGCTTTGTCACTGTGGTCCGGCTGGGGCAGGGAGTACCTGCTTTCCAGGAGCTGTGGTGTGATCTTTTACAAGAAGGCCCAGGACTTAGTATCTGCCCCATGGTTGGAGCACCCAGCCCTCGCAGCCCCAAAGCGCTTCCCGGCAGGAACTTGGTGGGTACTTACAATAGGCCCTTTGAAGGAGGAGGCCACAAGTCGGGGCGGGGGGTGGGGGGGTGGGGGGGGGGGGTGGGGGGGGGAGGACTGTGATTAAAAACCAGCCAAGAGCCTTGGGTCTCGGCCCATAACTAGTGCACTGCAACCAACTCCCACCTTCCCTGGGCCTCGGTTTCCACATCGGTAAAGTAGGATGGATGTGGCCACTGTTCATGTCAAGGAGCCCTGGTATGATGTGGTTCTGTGAATCCCACACACCAAAATTGCAGCTGTGTCTGTGGCCTCAGGCTCCAGGAGAGCCAAAGCCCGGGGAAGACACCGTCTTGGCACCACAAGGAAGGTGGCATTGATGATCTGACTTTGCCCTCTGTGTTATGTAGGAGTTTCGCCAGACAGCCTTCCAACTATTCCATTCCTGGACCTTGCACCCCCTTCCTCTTCCAACCACATATGTGTGTGTACCTCTCTTGGGGGCCACAGGTGGCTCAGAGCCCACATTCCTGGGCCACAGGTAGGGGGTGGCTGCTCCTGGCTACAGACATTCCTACATTCCTCCCAAGGTCAGATGCCTTCTCCGAATTGGCTTTAAATGTCACTGCCAGCTGCAGCCCACACTGAAAGGGAGGAGGAAGGAAGGCAAGGCCGTTCTTGGCCAGTTCTGAGGCTGCAAAGCAAACAGCCCGAGGGAGGTGGCGGGCCCCCAGCTACATCTTCTTTGTAGAAGCCAGCATAGGCTGGTTTTCCTCCTCATAAAGACAAAGGTGCATCTAGCACCTTTGTCCCGCCATCCGGGAGCTTGAGGCATCCATGTTTGTGTCTGTCCATGCTGCCTCTGTAGAAAAGGAGGGTGAGTGGCCACCACCTCCTGCTCTCCCCTGAGGTCCAGAGAGCGAGACATTGAGTCAGGGTTACCACTTGCAGTCGGCCTCCTTCAGACAACAAGACCTAGAGGCAGGGCCTTCCCTGAGCACCCGTCCCACCAGCATTGGTCCCACCCCCAGGGTGCTCCAGGACTCAGTCAGACTGTAGACTCACACTGCCTGGGTCCCTTCAGGTGGGGGCAGATGAGAGAGAAGACTCGGTGCCTCCTGGCTCCTTGGCAGGCAGCTGGCTCAGAGCAGGTATGCTTTGGATCCTGCAGAGCCGGCCCACTCGGCATCCTTGTGGATCAAGTGTAAGCTTGGCAAACCCAAAAGGCAGCACAGAACGGTGTAGGGTGCTGCTGATTTGTCTGTGCGGTGAGGGAAGGGAGGAGCCCCTGAGGCCATAGCTGAGAGCAGAAAGAGAGCTGCAGCCCGATCTTTGGAGCAGGCTAGCCTCCCCCTGCACTGGCAGGCCCTGGAGTGAATCCCAGATCTGGGCTTAAACCCAGACACAGCCACTTGCCTTAGACCTGTTCCAGCTGCTCTCATACCAGCTCCCCATCAGTAAGAATGGAGTCTCCAGCTGGGCGACACCTTTAATCCCAGCACAGGGGGTGGGGGTGGGGATGGGGGAGCAGAGGCAGGAGGATCTCTGAGTTCGAGGCCAGCCTGTTGTACGGAGCGAGTTCCAGGACAACCAGAGCTGTTATACAGAGAAACTGTCTCAAAACACCAAATCAAAACAAAAAGAATGGAGTCTCTGATGCACAGTCTGGCAGTAGATGACATCACATGCCTAAACTTAATGGCACAGTACCTGGAACTTAGGGAAATAATCCAGAGAGTGACCACTTCACCTGAACACTGACACTGGGTGGCAAGGTCCAGAGCTGCTTGGAGAAGTTGAGGTGGGCTCTGTAGAAACACGCGGGGCGACAGACGCAAAGCCTCTGACCTGAAGCCCCAGGAGAGGCCCTGATCCTTTTCCTCCGGACTAAGAACCTGTTCATTTGCCTCCATTTCTCCCTCGGTCTCATCAGCAAAGCAGGCCCAGTCCCCAGGGCTCGGCTCAGCTCAGCAGAGGATGAGATGAGGCCCACCTGTCCTGAGTCACCTTCAGGGCCTTACAAATGTATCACTGTGGGGCCCTCCCTCTTCGAACAGGTGCGGCATCTAGGGAAGGGGGTGGGAAGTGATGTCAACATGACTGCTGCGTATGGACTAGGACTGTCAAGCCCTTCCCTCACGTGTCCCCACTTTAAGTGTGGAAGCGATGCCCGCACTGCCCACCTAGTAGGATTTGGCAAGACACAAAGATGTCAAGTGTCTCCCAGTACCCCCAAAGGACCCCTAGGGAGCTATTTTCAGGAGACTTCGCAGGCATCTGGGACTCCACCGGAGACTCAGATCTGCCATCAGGGCTGGGCAGAGCTTAAGAAGTGGCCAGAGCCAAGTGTCCTGAAGGCTTATAACCAACCTGCGGATAAACACGGGAGGAGGAGGCAGTGGGCCCCACCAGGGCCTGCTGAGGTGGTGACAAGGAAGGAGAGGAGGACGGGGCTTGCCACAGCATATCCAGACGTGTTGGTAAGTCCTGAGTCACCCGGTTAGCCCGAAGGGCAGTCTGGGTGGTGGCAGCAACTCTGCCTCCTCTACACAGAGCCTCCAGGAGAGTGCTCCCACGCTGGCAGCCCAGCCCTGACACAGTGCCCTGGGTGACAGGCCAGATGAAGCACCCTGGACCCACCATTGCTGAACAGGCCACCTCGGCTGAGCCCCTGCCTACAGGAAGGACTCATCCAGTTGACTCTGCCTCCAAAAATACCCCAAGGCCATTCCCCGGGCTGCCTTTGGGGGTCCAGGCTCTGCACCTTGCTAGGCTCCTCATCTGGAACGTCTTGGTTGCCTCTTTCCTCATCCTTGCAGGAATTTCGGCTCACTGGATAGAAGCCAAGAGTCAGGAAACATCGTGGCGAGACAGAGACTCTGGCTGGGCTACAGGAGGGCCAGGTTGTCCTGTCACCACTTGAGCTGAGAAGCCACTAGCTCGGTCTGGAAAGGTCTTGAGCTGTAATTGGAGGTGTTCTTCTGACAATTTAGTCCCAGCACCCAACTCTAGGTGGAGGCAGAAAAAGTTTCCCTTGAAATGGGTCACTAATTGAATTCATCCCAGAAACAAGTCACCAGCACAGACCGGCTGCAACCAGCCGACTTTGACCCATCTCTCCTCACCGTCTCAGTCTTGAGGGACACAGCTGAGGAAGGGCTAAGAGGGGTTCCAAGCTTTTTCCACTTCTCCCTCTGTGGCTCTTGGGGTTCCCCTCAACCAAAGCAAATGACCTGGCCTAGCCTTAGGTTCACTTCAATCCCAGAAATATGATGTTGAGTACCGGTGTGCATGCATGAACACCCAGACACAATCACACACATGGGAATATATATACGTGTGCACTCACAGACATGAGAAGATATACACACAAACATACAGATGGGCACACGTGTACACCTATGAAAACATGAACACACAAACATGTGAATACATGCAAAACACACAGAGATGCATGCAAGCACACACATGTGCAGACACAGAAACATGCACTCACATACTCACATCCACAAATGCATACACAATATGAACACAATTATGTGCATGAACACATGCTTGTACAGGTATACATATGAATGCAATTGCACATACACAGGCATATTGGCGCGTACACACACACACACACACACAAGAACACCAGCACGCTCACATGCACACAGTGTACTGATTAGTTTTGACACAGCTAGAGTTACCTGAGGAGATTTTAACTAAGGAGGTAATTGCCTCCATCAGATTGGCCTGTGGCATGTCTGTGGGACATTTTCCTGATGGATGATTGATGTGGACAGTGTTACCCCTGGGTGGTCCTGGGTTGGATAAGAAAGCCGGCTGAAGGGCTGGATAGTCAGCTCAGCGGTTAAGAACAGTGGCTTCTCTTTCAGGGAACACAGGTTCGATTCCCAGCACCCATGTGGCAGCTCACAGTTGTCTGTAACTCCAGTTCCAGGGGATCTGATGCATGCTTCTAGCCTTCACACAAATGCATACATGTAAACACCCCCAAAATCACATGCATGTGTACAAGATCGCTCTCATTCAAACACACATCCCAGGGTCTCTTTCAGTGGGGACACACACATCACTTCTCTGGGATTCTAAATTCCCATCTTGATTGGAGAACTCGAGAGGGAGAGACTTATTGAGCTAATGAGTCACCAGGCCCTGGAGGCTCAGACAAGACAGGGAAGGTGAGAGGAGGGAAGCCTGTGATCAGAAGCCTGTTCATCTGGGATGCTGGGGGAAGCCTGGGACCACCAGACAGGTTCTTACTGCTGGAGTACCCAGGCTGGGAGGAGTTCAGAGGCTGGATCTGACTTCGCTGGTTCCTTGTCCCTTACATCTTCTCCATCGTTTGCTGTCAGAACAACAGCCCTTCTGACTGGGATGAGGGGCTAGCTCAAAGTCATTTTAATTAACATCTCCTTGACATGTGAGATGTTGGAGCGCTTTTAAAAACAGTTACTGGCCTTTTGTGTCTCTTCATCTGAAAACTCTGTTCATTCGTTAGCCTGTGTGTTGACCGGCAATTT